TACATAAAGTAATTGGGTTAACTGCATGAACGGTTGTTTCTTCACACCTACTTGTGCGCTCATTGTGTCGTAAATCGTACATTCTGTATAAAAGAAAATAAACAATTTCCCGCTAAAAAGTCTCACGGGGCCGTACGTGAGAACCGTACATGCCTGGGGGCTGAATTTGATAACCTTAAGTCGTACATGGGCGGAAACGTCCACTGACAATTTCAGCTCCCAGCTTTGCTAGTTTCCGGGCTAGCCATTTTCCTGCCAAAAAATTTCACTGGGCCCTACGTGAGGACCACGTGTGAGTGGGGGCTGAATTTGACATTTTTGAGTTGTATGTGGGCGGAGAACATAACCTCAAAATTTCAGCCTTCTATTTTTTCTCGTTCCCAAGTTATCATTTTTCCCGCCAAAACTTTTACGCCCTTGCACGCGGGACCCAGACTTGCGTGAGCGTTGGTACTGTAGTTCTGGGGTAGCACTTTTTGCCAGGGGACCTACTAACAAAATCTTGCCACTAGAACTTGCTTGGTTGCCGAGTTGAAATACCCGGTCAGATGAGCACACATACATACACATACACACAGACAGGACCGTCGCAATATGCTTTTTTGCAATTTGGATACTAGCAAAAACGCATAAAAACGACCGTTAAACAACCCAGGCTGGAACGCACCGGGCGGACCCGTGCGATTGTGTGTTTTTGCACCAGACTTGAAGTACCCAGGTCATTAACTGCATGAATGGCTGTTGCTTTTGCAGCACCTACCTTTTGCAGTCACTAGCATAAATCAGCATAAATTTCACGATCGTTTTTTATACGTACTCTAGTTGTTCAGTCAGAAGTTCAGCCAAAATTTTCAGTGCTCGTACGTAAGAACCACGCATACCTCAAGACTGAATTTGAAATACTTAATTTGTACTTGGACAGGAAATATCCCCCTAAAATCTCAGCTTTCTAGCTTTTTTGGTTCCCGAGTTAGTAATTTTACCGGAGAAAATTTCATACATCCCTACGTGAGTGCAATGCATGGCTGAGGGCTGACTTTGAAACGCTTAACTTGTAATTTAACAGGGAACGTTCCTCCAAAATTTCAGCCTTCCAACTTTTCTGGTTGCCGAGTTAGTAATTTTTTTTTCACATGTCTTTACGTGGGTATCACGCATACCTGAGGGCTGGATTTGAAATATTTAAGTTGTGCTCGGGCAAGGAACATTCCCCTCAAAATTTCAGCTTTCCAGCTTTTCTGGTACCCGAGTTAGTAATTTTCTCCCTAAAACTTTCATACGCTCTCAAGTGAGTACCACGCATACCTGG